TTTGATTTGGTTCAGCCGGCTACTCAGTTTTTGCATTGTTAGTGTGTTGCAAACCATCAGCACGGAAAGTTTTGTGATATTTTTGTTGCGGCAACTAACCAATTGTGGCATTGTACTTGCCCCAGCATTTGAAGCATTGGGAAAGGACTTGGAGCGGAATTGAAAAAGGCATACGGTGGAAGTGGCAAAGCCTACAAAGTAAAATTTTGGAAAATCAATTGAAGTGAAAATTTAATTTAAAATCTGTACAGCTAAGCGAGTATTTATTTTAATCCAAAAATATATATAGAAATTTACGAACATTGCTGTGCAATTTAGTGTGGCACGAGCAGCTGTACTACAGTGACTCAATTCGATTCGCTCGCTGGCTACGCACGCTCGATGTTTGTGCCCTGGCAGTGTATTCGGGCTATTGAAAGTGAAACTAAAATCCTGTAGCACGTAAAAAGGAACACTTATAGATAAAAACAAGTTGCATTTTGTGAATAGATTCTTAGATTAAAATTGAATCAGCATATCCTTTGGGATATCACACCACGAAAGTAAAGAGAAACTCTAAAGCTGGGAATCGTTACGATAGTTTCCCGTGCGATTCGCTTTTATTAGTGTGTGTTTGTGTGTTATAAACGGCTTCAAAATTAACTATTCAAAGTACCATCACAACGCTATGTCCTTGTCGGCCATAGCAAAGGTAAGTTCCCAACAATTGCCAACATACATACATATGTGTATATTAAAGTTTACATAAAATCCTCCATGGTCGATTTATGAAAAGTACAGCGAGAAAATTTAGCCATCACACCTTCATTTGAATTCACTCACACCAACGCTAGCCAGAAAGAGATTAATGCAACTTTACTAAGCGCATTAGTTCGTTTCTGTGCCATTTCGCGCTGCATTTTAATTGACAATTGGCGTGCATTCTGTATATATATGTATTTACGTATAAGTACAGATATGCAATTTAAAATTTTTTTCAGTTTTCTCTTAAGCGAGTCGATTGGGAAAAATTCACTCATACCACGCTCTTACCTCTCATCCTACAAACGAGTAACTTTGGTTGAGAAGCGTTGCCAGACTTGTTTTTACTTGCAAATCCGTTGTAATTTAGCATGTCTTTTTCGTTTTGACGGTGAAGGCAACGTAAATAAAAAAAATATCTAAATTTCACGGCCTTCGATAGACGAAAGAGTAGTTTTTGCCTCATGGATGTAATTCAAGTGCACAGTATTGTCATTGTTGAGTTTAAGAGCTTGTAAAGCTTGTAAAAGTGTTTAAAAATATGCAACCAATAAACATATTTTTGCAACTATGTAGAATACTGCAAAACTTTGACACTAAAAAGGAACTCAAAACTCGATTTGCTATACCTAGGATAAAAATCCGCCCACAGTTTCGTTAGCGAACACATTTTTTTCTAGGATGACGCCCGGGGAGAGGAAAACTCATAAGTACTACTAAAATATAGTTGGCCTATATGCACGCTACGTTATTGAGCCGGTTTTAAATCATTAGCAATGTGAAAAATGTATGTACGCATATTTAATTCAAGTTCTCTACTGCTTTCAATATGTATGTATGTAGAACAAAATGGTATTACCTGTGCGATGTGCTGGTCAGGCAGTGTTCCGAAATATTTTGAGATACACTCAATTGTAGCCACGTCTTAAAAGAAACTGTGTAAACTATTTGGAGTCTCCCAGAACTCTTTCCAGCTAATTTTAAATGCTTCGAATTAGCTTTTCGAGTCCATTAGGGTGGTCCAAATAAAAGTTTTAAATTTTAAGCTCCCTAGGATTTTTCCAAATGGAAAAATTATCCGTACTCTTTTGTAAAAAAAAATATATATAGAACTGCCTCAAAGCCAATGAAGATTTTCATGTATTTTATATAAGGAAAACCGCCTTTTTGGTAGAAATGTTACAGAATTCTTGAAAATCAATATATTTCGATCGGGAACCCCTCTTTTTCTTCGGAAGACTTCCAATAATAATACCCTACTAATTATTTTGCCTTTTTTAATACTAACGATTTTTTATGTGTCTGAGAATGCATTTTTCGGGGTTTTTGGGGGACCTATAAATAATAGTTAGTATTAAAAAATGGTAAAATAGTTAGTTCGGTAATTTTATTAGAAATCTCCTTAAGAGAAACATAGTTTTTCGATCAAAAATATTGATTTTCAAGAATTCTACACTATTTCTACGAAAAGTTGTTTTCCCCCCATATAAAATACATACATGGAAAGCTTTGAGCGACTTCTAAATATTTTTGGATTTCAAAATAAAAAATAGGGTTATATTTTTTCGGTGTAGAACAATCCTAGTGGGTGGGAGCATAAAAATTGCTGCTTTAATTTTTCGCATGCAATTTCGGACCACCCCAATATCCATTTTTGTGTCCGAGGATGCATCCCCCTACCGCCTATCCCGGCTGTTTTGAAGATAGTACCGTGGGTTGTGACATCCCGCGCCCATCTCTAGTAGATAGGTATGGAGTTTTGCAGCAAGCTCCCAGTAGCTAAGATTTACTGTAGATTTTTGGCATTTTTGTTGAATGTATTGCTCAGTTATTACACTCTCCATGTAAAAAAAAAATCGAGCTTACGTAAGACAGTCAACAAAAAAACACCTTTTCCATATTTAATAGGCTATAAAACTGACATCAGTGAAAAACTTAACATTTTGTCGAATTTTTTCGAATCTCCCAAATTTTTGTATAGAGTTTGAACTTTGGACTTACTTGGTTTTGGTTAGATAATGAGCTATACGTTCATAAAAAATAGTATTCATTAAATAAACAAAGAAAATCAGCCACCGTATATTGTGAAAGTGGGAATTATATAACCATTATCGGCTTTTAATTTTTTACATTAAAAAAATTCATTTTTATTTTGCCCAGTTGGTTTTTAAACTGATTGGTGAAACAGAAGTTGATTTCTAATGTATTTTGCAATGCCCAGCTATGATGATAAAAATGCCAAAATAAGTCTATTATCTGGCATCACTGCTTAGTTACTTTGCATTCGCACCTAATGTATTTTTTTATGTTGAATATCCTTTCAAAATTGCTTCTAGTCTGCGCATGTGCCATTTCACTCAAACCGCTCGCAAAAATTTTGTAAGGCTATTGAATATTCCTGCAAACCTTAACAGTTTTCTCACACTTCTCTGTTCATAACGCCAAGCTTTCGCGAGTAAGAATACATAATTTGAAAGTTTGCAACAAAATTTGTTGTGTCAAAATATGAAATAGTGAACCCCAGCCTTAAGGAAATGAAGGATTACAAAGAATATTCGGAGCTTACTTAATATGGAACGGCTTAATATGGCAGACTTGTTTCTGTCAAATAAATACAAAGTACACATGTAAATATTTGTAAGTATATGTGCATAAGTATGTAAATACTTATACAGTACGGCCTCGCGAAAAGCAACGAGTTGCGTTGATTGAGGCTGTTTCAATAACCGAATCGTAAAAAAATTTAGCCCGAAGGAATGATTTAACCTAAAAAATATCTTAAGTAAAATAATATTGTTAGGGCTGTTTCCAGCTCTCAAGAAAAATGAAAAATGCATGTAAAATGACGCACAAGAAATGAAAAGGAATTTTCTTCTATCAAAATTACTTAAATCAGTTTGCAGCTCTCAAAAAAAATGCTCGTGTATTTAGTTCTTCAAGAAAATTAACAGCAAAAGGAAAGTGCTTTTCCAAGCAACAGAATAATAAAAAATATTTTTTTTTGTGATTTTTCTTGAGAGCTGGATTCTAAGCTTAAGACAAAAGAAATCTATTATTTTAATTCACTTGAAAATCATGTATATGTATGTACCTATACAAAATCTAAATAAGTATATTTCTTGGTTAATTTGTTTTGGAAAATTGAAAATTGTTTATTTTTTTTATTTTTATAAGGTTTCATTCTTATCGACGGTCCACTCCCTCAGCATTTGAATAGTTAAGGTGTCTTCTGCTGAATCGATTAAAGAGAATTATGGATAGAAAGTTGCGTTTACTGAAACATCTTTTTTTTTTTAAGTTCCAATTACTAAGTCAATAATGGTAAACATTTGGATGTTGCTTGAACCGAGGTGTTGCGTTATGGACTTTTGCTCTTACCAAGGGCGTACTGTATATATGTACATATGTTCAAAGTCAAGCTTTCGTTTCGAATAAACGCCGGCTTTGAACTTGTGGCAAATCAACTTGTACATATGTATATGTAGAAGGTTAGCTTTTGTCACTATAGCTTATTAAGGGCTTTCGGCCGCTTTCGGGCGCTTTCAAAACTTTTGTCATTTTATTTTGCTTTAGTAATAACCACATTCCCCCCACACTCTCATTTACTATACACCACAAACACATGACATATACATATATGTACATCGCTCATACTCTCAACAATTTCATTTCCTCAATTTACTCTTTCTCCTAGCTCGTACTCTTCCTACCAAAATTTATTCTCCCCATCATATTGTGTTTTATACTTTGCTCCATGTTGTGAATAAGCAACATAATATGCAACCGGTATTATGGCATAAAACAGCTGGAGGAGCATAAAATGCCTAACAAATCAATGAGTGAGGAGGAATGGGCTAACAATAAAGGACGCGCTATTTTCTTGTAGCATGAGAATTTCACTCAAAAGCAAACTGAGCCTACTGCATACTTATTTACTCTTAAGCGAGGTGAATGTCCTTGTGCGTTAACACGGCAGCCGATGCAAAGTAAAGCGCTCCCTATTTGAATGTACATATGATGGTCGTTGTGTTTTGCTCACATCAAAGAAAGTCAATGACCCGACCTTGGGGTGCGACACAATTCGGCTAAGCGTGGCATCAATTGCTTCATTATTATTATTTAGTTAAGACGTCATTAGCAAGTTTTGGTGTGCGGGTGTTTAAGTGTGTTGTCAAGAATTACGAACATCCAGGAAGTTCATTGAACTCTTTAAAGCAGCCTAATTTCTACTATGCAACTGGCCGGAATTTAATTTTTTTTTTTTGGCATAAATTCTGAAAAGAAAGTTATCATTTTCAAGCTTGGTACATTTGTTCTTCATGCTACTAGCAAGCTATAGTAAAACTATTGGGCCGATCAGATAAACCGTATGCCCCATCTTCCCTTCTCCCCATATATAACATTGCTTTTGAACGATAACGTTTTTCAGAAATTTTTTAAAACTTGCTTAAACACCTATTGTGACACACATTTAAATTACCTAAGTACCACAATTCAAGTTTAAATTGCTTTTTAAACAAGTGGCAACCCTAATAAATAAAGTTCTCAATAAAGCCTTTCAAACGCATTAAGATTGATACCAATCTCCTTCAAATACCTCAAAAATAGCTTAAAATAGCTGTTAGCCACAGTGATGTTATTGTGAGTCAAGTCAGCCAATTGATCTACTGGATGAGTACCCTTGCTTTAAATAAAATGTATGTGTGACAGTGCTGCCTTCGGCTATGCCAAAGGTTTCATACCTTTCTGGAACATCAGAAAATTTTACTTCGTGAGCTAAAATTTTTACCTTCACTACATGCGTGTAGGATGGCTTTTATTAATTTATTTTTATTTATTTGATAGTTTACTTACATTTATTTGGAACAAATTTGCTGAAATGTCTATTTCAAGGTTAAGGCATGTAAGTATACAGGTTAGCCCCTTTTACAAGTAAAGCCTTCACAAGAGCAAAATGATTTCATCGTTTTGATAACACTGTCCTACAGTGGTTACTCAACATGAACAAACGCTAAAAATTATGAAAGAAAATGTCTCCCAAACCAACTTTGCCGTATACAGTACTAACTAGCATGCTGGTACCGGGGTTTTTGTGAAGCTCTAAAAATTATAACTACAACATTTGAGCATAGCCTCCCATCTCGAAACGAACGACGTATTCTACGTCAAAAAAACAACATTATTAGCTCATATACTATTAACCATTAAATATTTACAAAACCAAATAATGTCTAAATCGCTAACCACTGATTCTTCTACTCCTTGCAAACTAAATTACATCATGGAATCGAAGCCAATACTCTATTCGTATTGGCGGAGTTCTTGTTCGTGGCGTGTACGCATCGCTCTCAATTTGAAGGAGATACCATATGACATCAAGCCCATTAGCTTAATCAAGTCAGGTGGCGAGCAGCATTGCAATGAGTATCGTGAGGTGAATCCGATGGAGCAGGTGCCGGCATTGCAGATTGGTAAGCACAGCAGGGTTTTGAAAAATGTTTGGCAACGACTTGAAAACAAAATATATTGAAATTTTTTCTTTCTTCCTATTCAGATGGCCACACACTTATCGAGTCTGTAGCTATTATGCACTACTTGGAAGAGACGCGTCCACAACGTCCACTGTTGCCACAAGATGTGCACAAACGCGCAAAAGTGCGTGAAATTGTAGAGATTATTTGTTCGGGTATACAGCCCCTACAAAACCTCATTGTACTCATTCATGTCGGCGAAGAAAAGAAAAAAGAATGGGCACAACATTGGATTACACGCGGCTTTCGGGCTGTCGAGAAAGCACTTTCCACCTCGGCCGGCAAGTATTGCGTGGGCGATGAGATTTCCATGGCAGATTGTTGCCTGGTGCCACAGGTCTTTAATGCAAGACGGTAAGTTTCAAATAAAGTGAGCAAATCCCAAGAGTTGTTTTCTTCTCTCGGCAAACCAAAAAAAAAAAAAAAAAAAACAAAGCATTCTTCTTGCATTTATTTCAATCAAAGGAGTTTCAGAAATTATTACAATAAAAAATAGAGCAAGTGTTTGTGCAATTTTACCCTTAAAACGAAAAAGTACCGAAATTGCTAATTTTTTCATTGTCAATCGAAAAAATCATAATTGATTTTTTTAATAACTTTGGTAAGTTTTCAAACAGAATGTTCATTAGGCTGGGTCGATTTTGTATGGGGGAAAATAAAAGTAATTTGACCGCATTGTAATAGTAATATTATGATGTCTTAGGTCTCAGCCAATTGTTATTGGCCACGAAAGATTAATTTAAAACTTATCTTTAGCCCGCGCAATTGAATCAAAGTGTATGAATTTTGAAAATGAAACTTTGGCTTGTAATATCTATGGAATGCGTTATTGTTATAAACAGGACGATATATCAAATTAAGGGCTATTAAATTTAGAACCTCACGTTCATTTATCATTTTTCAATAAGTCTACACGTTTTTAAGATATTAAAATAAAAAATAACAAAACTATGATTTTCCCTTATGAATTTTCAGTTCTTCATTACTTCAGCAACCAAGTGAAAAATACAAAAAAGTGAGACGAGATTTATTTGAAACCTTTTAATGTTTATATAATATTAAAATGACCATGGACTTGGTCACGCCGATTTGGTCAGTTTTCAAGATCGTGGTGAATGAATGTATTGTCAAAGATTAGGAATCGTTCGACAAGTTAATAGTAGTGTCAAACATATAAGTATTTACATACATTACAATTAGGGTGAGAAACGCCCATTTTAAGTCCATTTTTGCAGTCTTGAAAACTGGTGCGGAATGGTTTCATTAGTCGCCGCAGAAGCACATTTTTCGCGGTTTTTAAATATGCCGTTATATGAAAGTAGGGGACGTGCAATAAGTGTTTAGATATACATAAATATTTTAGTTAATTCCATTATGTGAAAAAGTGTCTGTAAGTATGCAAATGGGGAATCCTTTTGAGGACTCTCCAATTGGACGATATTGCTTTGCATTCAGCTTGAACGAAAAAAGTCACTCGCTGGCACAGTTTTCTGTAATCCGGTTCTTTTATTTAAAGGTTATTTATACAATTAAAGAGAAATTTTTTTTAGGAAAAAACTGGAAATCCACTTAAGTTTTTCGATATATCTTTGGTAAATTTTACTCGATCGGTGCATAATAATTAACAAATTGAAGGCGAGACTTAATGTTACTGATTTTTGATAATAATATGACTAAAATAGTTCAGATTATAAACAAACTATTTTAAAATAAAAAAAATCCTGAACAAATTTTTTTTATCATTTTCTTATATTTGCAATTTTTATATTGTATGCATAAACATAAGTAAACCAATTAGTGTGTCTAGAAGTTGTGCCTGTTCAGTGTTTCCATACTAATTTGCATAAACAAAATTTTTCCGCGATGATGGAAAATAATGGCTATTCTATTAGAGCTACCGAAATTGTTCCTAAATTTGCAAAAAATCGCAAAATATAGCTGATATTAAAAAAGGATTAGAATATTTGGAACTAGCGATCTAAATGCACGCCAGCAATATTAATGTTGTTCTTTACATCTTTTGACTATAGGCCAGTGCAATTATCAAGAGAACAATTAAAATTTTCTTGAAAATATATGAGTTTGAGATTAAATATAAGATAAAGGGCTACGCGAAATGATACTTGACTTTATCTTTTGCGTTAAAGGATTCATTATCTAATAATATGCACCAAAATTTTTGGCTAAACCCAGAATTTTTAACAAGAATTGGTCTTATTCGACTAGTGTGCTGTGGGTCACTTGGCGGTCGATGCGCGGGCTCTTACAATTAAAATGAAAGACTAATATTTCGCAGGCTTGTTGTTGACTTCATGATACAATATATTTTCACTATTACCAAGGGATTTGAGAAAAATTAGATTTTCGACCCGCCCTAATGTTCATGTTTGAGGCATTGGACGTTGGCATCAAATAAAACATATCTGTAAAGTTTCAAGTTACCTTGAATCAGTAGAAAATGAGTTCGATCTTTGGGCCCCTCATATATCTCTTGTACACAAATGAAGACAAAAAGATGATGATTTAAATTGTCAAGTCCAAGAACTAAAGCGGATTATCATGGACGCTTGGGATTAAATGAAAAGTATTTACCCAAATCTTTACGGACTTTCAAAAAATACTGTCATTTAGTTGGCGCCTCGGTGGCTGCTGAGCGCCTTTTTTCAAAAGCGCTCGAAACGAATTATTGCGCAAAAGGGCTATCTTGTAGTAAAATTTATCATACAAAGAAGGGGTACAGGCATATGAAAACACGATTCGGCTCCATACTTAGGGGGTCCAAGCTAGAGGAGTATATGCCAACCATCTTGGAATGGCAACGTCATTCCATCTCCCCATTAGGCCGAACAACATAGTGGCTAACACGCAACTGTTTATGGTATAAGTCTAGTTGTCATAAAGGCAGTCGATTCCATCACAATCAATTCGGAAACGGTAAGACAGGTTCACTTTTCATCTAGTATGGGTGCTAGGGCAGATTTGTAAGAAAGGCCTCCATGTTTTTTTGTCGTCGCCTCAAAACTATTTAGGAACTTAGGTGGGTACCTGGACATGTAGGGACGGGCTGCAGATTTTGTGGGCTGGTCGAGGTAACCTTAGATCATATTCTATGCCAACCTAACAAAAATAATTGCTGTCAAAGTTCTGCGTCACCCTTTAACCATTGAACAGCTGCCATAAACTTTGACTTTTGGTCTATTCTGTAAACTTCTTACACTATGCATAATCTTTAATTAGTAATTCACGACTACCTCAACAGATCTTTATATTTTTAAACTATGTATGTATTTCTAGAAATTTTACAAAAACAACTATTTAATTTATCTCTTATACACATGTATTCGTTAATAGATTCCATGTCGATCTTCGTCCATATCCGATCATCTTGCGCATCGATCGTGAACTGGAGGCTAATCCTGCTTTCCGTGCAGCTCATCCCTCCAACCAACCAGACTGTCCACCGGAGTTGCCAAACAAATAGAATTTTCCGTCAACAACTGCAAAGCGCCGCAAAACTAAAAAGTGATCACGAGTAGCATAACAACAGAAAGAGCAGCAATAACAAAACAAAAACAAAACTAAACGCCATAACAGGCGAAGGCGAGCGAATAAAATTGAGAATGTAAAAACAAATGTGGCCGTCACAAGCAGTTGAACAAATTGAAAAACCAGTACTTGAAAAGAATTATGCGATCGGAAAAAATTATAACAGAAAAAGCAAAATGCATACAAATCACATTTTAAATGAGAACTTGTAAAAATATAACCAATTGACAAAGAGAAAAAAAGGTAAAAAGGAGGTAAAGAGAAGATATGATAGCTTGAGCCCTCAAAGTGGCCAGCGCTATTGACTTCTTAAACAAAAAAAAAAAAAAAACATAAAAATTGTGAAAGTAAAACTCAAAGAAAAGAATTGTGAAAGCTGTTTAATCATTTGGAAAGTGAAAAAGCATTAAAAGTTTTGAAATATTTGGCAACAATTGTGAAAATTATCTCAAAGATATGAGCACATACGTATTTATATATTACTTACACATACATACATACATACTCACACATTAAATTTAGAACTATGTTTAAGCGCTAAGCATTACTTTAAAAAAAAAGTCTTCACAATTTCAAATTTCAAAATGACAAAAAAAGCAAAATAATGCAAAATTATTTATGCAAAGCAAAATTAAATTCAGGGATTTTACCAACTACAAAGGCAAGTAAGAGTGTAAAAGGAAGAGTTGAAAGGAAAACACACACACACACACACAACCAACACATACATACATACATACTTACAACTAGCCTACCAAATATTACAATACTTGATGTTAGAGTTAGCAAACAAATCTCGTAACAAAATACAAAACACAAATAAAAGAGTACAAAATGCAGTAAAATAATCACTGGAACATAAGAAGTACATACATACATTAAACAAATGAAAAAACGTAAATTTCCTACAATGAAATTAAGAAGTAAGCTAAAATTTGCTGTATAAAAAGAAGCATCACTTCCTGTGTATGACAAAAAATACAATTTTAAATAGTTTTTAATATCCTCAAAAATACTATGTACATATGTATGTATGTATTTACCATATGTATATGAATATATACATTTGTATTGCATAATCCAATTAAAAGATGTTTTAATCATAAAATTGACAGTTTCTTTCAGAATTCAATTTAGAATTGCAAACGGGAATCTAGTTTCAAGAGTATTCCCATTTCTGTTTATTAGAAAGTAATTTTTAAGCAGAAAATAAAACCGACTTCATTTCTCATTTTTATAAGGTTATCGTTAATTTATTCATGATCCAATAATCGGCTTTAAACCAAATTAGTATGGGACCACCTGTGAGGTAGCAGCTTCCCTTCATGCAGTAACATAATAAAAAACAATAAAATAAAATAAAAAGTATTCCGACGAACTGATAACCTTCTTCTTTTAGTTAAGTCGGTTAAAAAAATATTTAAATTTTCTTCATGATAAAACAGAACAAGATACGTCAGATTACTTTTGTAAAGATGTATGCCCATAGGGTTTTACCTTAATACAGAAATATATGCCCTTACTCATTTTCTTTCTATATACTGCTTTGTAAAAAGGTCAGACGATTACTTACAAAGCATGCAATAGAACTTTTGTAACAGTATTTAATTATATAAGGCCTTTAGAAAAATACGCTCTTGGAACAAATTTCCCCACTAAAAACTGTACTATGTATTTGATTCTAGAATTACTATGTGAAAAAAATAAAAGTGTTAAATCAGGCCTTCTATATTCAGGTATCGATATGTACATATGCCTCCACTTTGAAAAAACTAATTTTTTTAAATACATACTTGCAGTAAAAAAATTATTTAAAAAAAGTATGAACAAAATTTATACCAAGTAGGTAGGCACTTCGAAATTTCAATTGAAACTGTAATTAATTTACTCATTTTGACTCAGCTATTCGCTTACCGGGAGTAAGCTATTTAAAAACTTCAAATGGATGGATTTAGAAACTAACTTATTTTAAATTAAATCAACTGGTTTTCATGACATTTCCATGCAAAAAGGTTTTCCAAACTTCCATACTTTGGAAGTTGCCTTAATACCTTTGTACACAGTGCAAAAATTGAGTTTCCGGACTTCGGCCATTTCCCAGCAAAAAGTGGCATCCGTATCATCCGTAAAGAGTTCATTCAAAATGGTAATCAATTACTGGCGCACATTATTTTGTGCGTTTGAAGCGTTTAATGGCAGTAGACGACCCAATTAGGCATCGAGTCGAACTTCAATAATAACACATTCAGTCGAGGTATATAGTATCAAAATGACACTTAGTTGCGACTTTGACGTAGTAGTTCTTCCGCCATAACTAAACTCTTTTATCGTTTTTGGTTCAATAAAAAATTATTTTCAACATTGTTTATTTTGACCTTTACACACTGCGTCCGACGTTTCTCACATCTCTTGATACTCTTCAAAATAATACACTTTCTTCAGTTCCTCAATACAGCCATTCCTAATACCCATTGCTTCGATTGCTAAACGGTGGTGTGTCCACGTATTTCCTCCATGTCCATGTATTTAGTACATCTATCGTTTCTAATAAAAATGTTGTTAATTTTGAATCTCCCATTAGCAAACACTATTTTGAGGTAATTTTTTCAATAAGCATAGAGAGCTTTTAGCATCCAGAAAATATGTAGAGAGTTTAAAAGTTTTCTTTTCGAGGCAAAGCAGTGTCTATCCATGGATTACACTTTCTACCCGTCAATAAAAATCAATATTTGCTTAAATCAGTCACGATCAAAATAAATTCCGTGGGAGAAGCTTTTTAAAGCTTTCCAAAAATTTAGTAAGACTGCGACAGAGTAATGCTCTTTCTGATCACTAACGTGCAGAAAGACATTTTACCACACAGAAAGCTTATAAAGGCGCTGCCCCACCACCTGTGTAGATCCGTCATTACAGAAACATAAATAGCCCGTGAGCGAAGTCCTTTAAAGCTTACCATAGATATTGTATGGGCGCGCACTGAGTAAACACTCCATCAGATCGTCTCTACCGCCTGCTCAATTATTTATATTCTACCGTCAAGGATATGGGCAGGTTCTTTGACTACTATTTATGTTACTTGTCCTACATTTTGGGGTACTAATCTGAAATTTTGGAAACCCTGCCTGAATTATAAATCTACCTTAAATAAATACCTGGGTTAAATGATAGCTGTAGTGGGTTAAGCTTTTAAGCTTTTTTAATTAATTAAGAACGAATCTCAAAAAAAAAACAACTCAAAGAATTCAGAATTCATAAAAACACACAATTTTATGACTTTATGATGATGAAATATGTTTTTCGGTGCAGAGAATTAAACGGGAACTCCCATTTGAATAATAAAATATGTATGTGATGAAGTATTGCACGATCTAATAGTGATGATTAGTATCAAAAAAATTGAATAAAATACCCGTACTTGTAAAATTTAAAATATTTTCCATGCATGTAACTACTTCAACTTAACAAGGAAAATATGTAAATGTTTAAAAATATTTAAAAAACCATGTGCTTAAATAAAATATGTACTTAAATAATTTTAATGCAATTCAATCAGAGATCTGTGCTCATAAATTACATTACCTACATTTCTGCATGTTTGCATATCGTCGTCTAAAGTACAAAACCGTGTATCGTCATTCTGCGTAACGGACATTTGCTGCCAAAAATTGGATTTGCTCACACAAGCTCTTGGGCCAATCCTTATCCAAACGTCCTGAAAAATACTAGCCAAAAATGCGATTCCTTTATAAAAAAGAGAACCGTTATGAAATATGAGTATTTTTTCTGTCTATAAAAAAGTTTATACAAACTCGCATACGCGGTTTTGTTCGTTAAACGACGACATGTTTTTGGTTACTACAACTGTCAAGTACACTACGAATAAAAAAATAAATCATATAAATAATAAGGTATAATAAGAGTCAAACTTAAATACATACTCCATACCTAAAATCTTTGCAATAAAATTTATAACTGTCTTAAAAGATTTTAAATAATAATAAATAAATAAAATCTTGTCTTTACTTTAAAATCGTGTAACTCAAATGTAGCACAGATTCACTCTAAATTTGTGCCGTGTAAAAAATTTTAGGTGGAGACGAACTTTATGATAATTTTCTATTAACGTAATGACAAGGGTACTTTAACCTTCAAATGACAACGGCGGTGTTCCGCTCACCCCACGACTTCATAAAAGCCTTAATATTATCTTGTTCATTTTGTTTCCTCTTTTTATTGCTTTCTATATTCCGTAAATAGCCAGAGAGAAAGTATTGCCACCGCTGGGGTTTCCAGTGACCCCTGTTACTATTTGTGTATTTTTTGTGATATTAAAATAAATGTACATAAATTTTTTAAGACAGAAATGGCTTCGTTGTCAGATATTCAACGGTGATGAATGCTGTTCAGAGGGCAGAGGAATATCTGAATTTAAGTATTATGTATCGGTTCAGTCATAGGAGGAAAATGTTATTTTCAATAATGAAAAAAGTTACTATGTGGCAGTGTTGCCACAAAAAAAATACCAAACTCCTCAAAAACAAATGAAAGATGCTCAAAATCCGAACAAATTACTCAAAATTTCCTTTTTAACTATTTTCAAGTACTTAGCATAAATATTACTTACATTCTCCAATTCAATTGGTACATTTGTTCTTGCGGTTCAAACAAAGTATCACCGTTATTTTGTATGCCTTGGTTTGCATATAATATTTCTGCAACTATTCAGTGCTCAATCTGGTCCTCAACTCAGTCCTACATATTTTTAAACTACTAAATATACGTTTTACTCAAACATTAGAAAAGGGCTGCATTAGTAATGCAAATATAATTTTTTTTTAATTGGGAAACTTTATGAACCTGAAGAATATTTTAATTCCAAACCTTTTTTTCTACTATTTTTCTGTGTCTAATGAAGCATCAATATGAAGATCCTTATGATCGAATGAGGACGCATGAGAGAAAAATCGAAGAAAACCAAGCCCTTTCACATTATGAACCAGAAGAAACCTAAATTTTTTGCTTGAACAAGTCATGTTTGCATGGTGCATGGCGAAATGGGAAAAGTAGGTTTGAGAAATGTTCGGCAAGCCGCTTATGTGGTGTATTTCGCTCTTTATGAAACTTCGGAAAGTTTTTTGTTCAAAAATTTGCAGAGCGATTTAACAACTCTCTTGTGTAAAATATGGTTGCATTTGTTATCTGCAAATATATCGAGAGGTAATTCCTCAAAAATTCCTCAAAATAAAAATCCTCAAGTCCTCCCGAAATTCCTCACGTTTTGAAGAATTGCTCACTGCTATGTGGACACTAATCCAGCTCAATCGGGAGCAATGGAGTTAAGGAGTAAGAATGGAAATGTTTGATCTTCTCCTTCACGAGCTTCGAGGCGCACACCTCGTAGAAACATTTTAACTGTCCGCCGACTGGCTAGCAGTGTTGCCAGAACTCTTTGGACCTTTGGCTAAACTGTTCCAAATAAATTTTATTTAAATAAATCATGAGTATAAAGACTAGTTCTTGGAGAGAAGCTGCAAATTCAAGCCGGAAAAATTTTGCCAACAAAAATTTGCAATTAGGAAAAACATATGATTGTGACCCATGGTTGGATTTTTTACGACAAAGAAAGGAATGTTGAAGAGGATCGGACTAATAAGAAATATACAAAATTCTATACAAATTTATTATGTTTGAAATGCAACCGTGGACACTAGCTGGCGGGGAAACTTGCAAACTTGGAGAGAACTTGGGAGCATTTTTTTTTCAAACTATCTGATATTTTGAGTGATAATTCTCGCTGAATTTTCGACGAACAAACTATTGTCTTCCCAGAAAGTTTTGCTTTAAGCTTAGTATCCAGCTCTTAAGAAAAGCAAAAACTCCATATAAAATGACGTACAAGAAATGGCTAAGAAATTTTCTTGAGTCAAATTTCCTTAAGGCAGTACGCAGTTCTTCAGAAATTTAGTACGCTTTCTACTACGGTTTTCTAAAGTTTTTTGTGAAAAAAGAGCACAAGGCAACCCAGGTTTGCAACAGAAATATATGCCCGTTCCATTATTTCTTGAGGAAAGAGTGAGGCAACAGGCTGTGAGGTATAAAAAATTTCAAAATTCCTTGGACACACACGCGAAATAATGGCAATTTTTTCTTGACCGTTTTCTTAAGAGCTGGATACTTAGAAATTTGTGCTCTCTTATTTAAATTTTGACGCATTCCAGTGTTGTTTCTTTTAATTCAAGTCGGCCATCGGTTTTTGGAATTTAAAGAAGTTCTCAGCAAAAAAGATTGTTTAAAAAAATACATATGTATATGTAGTGTATACATAGTGCTTGAAAATATCCATTTTTCCCTTACCTTAATTAAGGCAGAATGATTATGCGCTTTCTGGGAAGACTATGGGCCGTATGAAAAAATGAGCAATTGCTTTTCCTTAAAATTTCAGACCTCTTACTTGATTTATTCAAACAAAATTGAAGTAAAAGGTATGAAATTTTAAGTAAAACTAATTGCTTAATTTTTATGCATACGGCCCAATACCTGTAATATTTATATACATATATATTCTATGTGTTGGCACTATGTTCAAACACAAACGCGTGTTAAGCAAACAGTGAAACAATTTGTTATTTTCTAAGTTTGCGAATAAAACTTCACACTTAAATTTAAGACATTCATAAGAAACATTTTATGAAGAAAATCACCGCTACGGCCCTCTTAGGAAAAATATATTCGTTTAAAATAAAAATTTTTATAAACCTGCCTGACATGAAAACTTTCGCCGCGATGAGGCCAGCAGCCATTTCTAACAGATTTTGGGTTGCTTAGTCATAAATGGAAACATATATATTTGAATTTTAAGAAAACAAGGCAAAATCGGTTAAAAACGGCATTTTTTTTTTGAAAAACGGCTAACAAATCGGCTGCCGGCTAAACCTAAATTTCTCCTGCTGTTTGCTATCGCAACCGGCTAAATCTAGACGGAAAACGGCTAAAATGGCAACACTGGTTGCTAGTGGTGATGGTCAGAACATTGAAACTTGAAAGGATGCATTCACAACTTAAATTAGAAAGGGCCAATTACACAAACAGGGAACACGTTCACGTCCAAGAAATCGAGATAAAAAAGACAAAACTTGTTGCGAAAAATGTCGTTTGGCAGCATACCTCGAACAACGCAAAAATATTAGCTTAGCTGCATTAAAGTGAAAAAAAGTTGAACTGAAATCATAACTTAAATAAAAGAAATTTGTTTTCAGTCAAGGCGAATTAATATAAGGTGATAGCACGAGTACAAAAACAAAAATTTACATGTATTTTGTTTTTGCTTTGGTGGCATAAACTGTAAAGTGTCAAAATCTGTAAGAGTGTGTGTAGAAATTCAAACAAAATTTTTCAATTTGATATCAGAAGCCGTGCGGCGAAACACATACACAAAATCAGCTGAGCTAGTAACCACCACCTTATATAAATTCGCCTTGTTTTCAGTTTAGTTTGAATCAAATCAAAGATCTCAGAGTGAACAAGATTGAAAATATTTTTTTTGGTATTGTTTCAATAGAATTCAAAAGTGGTGGGGTAACGAATCACACAAGTTGCAATTTACGTAAACACAAAAAATGTTGTTAGACGAGGGTAATGTCCAATATGTGGTTAACAAGTATTAAATTTAAGGGCCAGCGTAAATCTGGCTTAAAAGTTTGGGTTCATGTAAAACTTTCAATTGAATTTCAACAATAGTATCTTATCTTGAGCAAATAAGTTCTCTTCTGTAAAACGATGGCTCTGACCAGTGGCCTAGTCGAGATTTCGGGAAGGGGGGACTTGATGAAAAAAATCTTAGCCATCACACATCGGCTAAAGCACTTATTCCAATACAAGGTACCAGTTTGACTTTTGCATGATGGGGATTGTTTGGTACTATATTTTGGGGCACCCCTCTAAAATGTGCCAATAGTCTAGAAAATGTGATTTACAAGCCTCAATCTGATAATGTTACCACGTGCCTCATTGAAGATAAAGTTGGGAAAAACAGGAATTTAAAAAACTCCAAGTTTTTCGTACATACGTATATAGATTCCTTTAAGCTGTTACAAACAGCAACACAAAATGGGGGTCCCTTGATTCTTCAAGGTCATCTAGAGATCATGCCAAGGTCATCTCAAAGTCAAATTCAGAATAACTGTATTAAATTTTCAGTTTTATTCAATGAATTTTTCCCGACGGAGGCTAACAGACCTCGGATTCGAAGAAGCTTGGCTCAATATGCAGAAACTTTTTTGTTTCTTTGTAAACCTGTGTAATATATCCAAACAGGTTTTTAAATTCTAACTTTTGTCAACAATATGCGTAAGAAGAAAATTGATATGGGGTGAAAAGGTTCCCCGGAAATTTCTGTTAGGAATACGAGTAGAGCGACAATCACAATCGAGAATGGCCAACAACCTGGCTAGTTTTGCAGCTGAGTAAAAGCATGTGAAGTGTGGCACGAAAATTTCGCTAAGTCGCGAATTTTTGGAAAAAAAAACATATCAATGTGACGTACTTACATATGTTTGCTGGCATATAAATATTTTGAAAAAAATGAAATGTTGCACACTTATACATATCTAAATGTTTAAACTTAAGTAGTTACGGGATAAATTTGGACCACCTAAACCGTTCTCGATGATTTTTTTCTTATTGGAAAGGGGTATCTTATAGCAATTCGGTTTGTATGTTTTGCCTTGAAAATTACTTGTTAACAAATACATTTACGCTACTACAAATCAAAAGACAATTACGTAGACATGGGCGCCAATCGATCATATTTAATAAACTGCATCCGCGACAAATGCGTTTTTCCATACAAATAAACCACTTCACCGTCACGCGACAGACAGGAGCAGAGATTTCTTTTCTCGAAGTTTCTAGAGAAAAATTTAAGCATTCACTGCACCCTGTATGAAAGCAACGTTTTCAGTTGCATATTTTCCGGCACACGATCTATGCAGATTGCTACTATTTATTCGTGTATTGTTTACCAAATACTCACCATTCATGTTTATCAGCATATGTGTGTACATAAGGGTGCTCCTTAAATGTGGAAAGCAAACTTTTACATCTGATTTCACAAGCCTCAACCCCTACGTCGATGCTACTACATTCGAAGATATCACATATAAATTGTGGTGCCGATTGGAGACGGTTAAGGCATGTCGCACAGGCGGCAAAGTTCAGATTACTCTATGAAGACGTCTTAACCGACTCCAATCGGGATATCCTCAACTTTGAAAGTATCGATTTTGGGTATTAAATTACCCAATCGACTCCCATCGGCATCAAAATTCATTTGTGATATCTTCGACTATGGTAGCATCGATTTTGGGTATTAGATTATAAAAAAAATTAATTTTAATTTTTTGAGTCTCTGCGCCCTGTGCGACACGCCCTAACCGTCTCCAATCGGGACCATAATTTATGTGTGGTATCTGTGAACATGGTATTACCGATTCAGCGGGTGAGACTGAAAAAATTCGTTCATTTGATTTTTTAAGGACCACTCTAGTACACAAATATATGTACATATGTATGTACACAGATCGACCGCGAAATGAGGTAAGGAAAGTAAACAAAAGTAGTGCAATTGCAATCATAACAAACAAAACTTCAATTGATAATAGCAGCATTGATGCAGTTCATCACAAGGAAAGTTCTATGCGAAAATTTTTAAAAAAAGTATTCGTACCGATTGTTCAGCACAATATAAATATTGCAGAACAGTGCTATTAAATCGTTTTGAAGATTATTTAAAGATCTAAGTACGTATTGCCAAGCAAAATGATTACGTCCCGATGTACTCGACAGCTGTTCCAAAGCGGTTGGCGCTGCAGCGGAATTAAAGTTCGTCCAACTCATGAGTTAAATGATCGTCGTTTAAGAATTTCAGTTAACCAAATAGTGTCTACTGCATCAACTCTCACGCAATCACCACAACCCGATAGAGATGCCCAGCCAATACTTTATTCATATTGGCGCAGTTCCTGTTCGTGGCGAGTACGCATTGCGCTCAACTTGAAAAATATTCCATATCAAACAAAAGCTGTCGATTTGTTTGGCGAACAGCACAGTGATGAATATCGTGCAGTTAATCCTATGCAGCAGGTGCCTACATTGCAAATAGGTGTGTATGTATGTACATATGTTAGTTAGATCGTAGTACTTATTTTCAACTCGCCACATTGCTCCACTTAGATGGTCACAGAATTATTGAATCGGTTGCTATCATGCAGTACTTGGAGGAGACACGACCACAGCCACCACTATTGCCGCCAGATGCCTACGAGCGCGCCAAGGTGCATGAAATTGTTGAACTCATTTGTTCAGGTATACAACCATTACAGAATGTGATTGTGCGCAAGTATGTTGGGAAAGAGAAACAGAAGGAATGGGCGCAACATTGGATAAAGCGTGGATTTAGTGCTCTTGAAAAAATACTCGCCACAACTGCTGGCAAGTACTGTTTTGGCAATAACATTACAATGGCCGATTGTTGTCTACTGCCACAAGTCTTTAATGCCAGAGGGTAAGATATGAGAATAAATAGTTTTCATAACTAAATAATTGTGTTTAATGTAAAATGTGTAATTCTTATATGTATTGATATCTAGATTTCAGATGGATATGAGTGAATATCCGATTATTTCACGCATTGCTAATGAATTGGAGACGATGCCTGCATTTTCCGCTGCACATCCGTATAATCAACCGGATTTTCCGTCTGGCTCAAGAGAAAAATAAAATACTTGCATGCTGGTTGAACTAAGTGATATATTAATATGGTCAATGGTAGCGGCAACACTGTATTATTGTATGTTCCAGCTAATTGACATCCGCTTAATGGTTTCCCCCCCATAATTGCTTTTCCTGGATATTAAAAACAAATATTATGCGCTTTCTCATACTAAATTAAGCGGAGGATGGACAATGTACTATGCTATAAACTTTTAGAATATTTCAAGAGCATAAAATTTGGATGTGTTACGTTTAAAATCTATAAAATTATAATATACTACATACATAAATTCTTATATCTATAAAGGAAAGGATATTATTAAAAGACAGAACTTACGGTAGGTACGTACATATTTAAATGAATTCCTAAGGAAATTCTCTAGAGTACTTCATTCGCAAACCGATCCGTAAGTAACTATCCGTCGGAAAATTCTAAGTTATGCAGCATTTCCCAAATACTGACGAATAAATGCTATGTTGATAAAAGAAAAGTCTTCAATGGAAACACAACCTATCAAATTCCATGCCAAGAGTTCAAACACTTCCAAAGTTAAAAATGTGTAGTATATAAGGATGGCAAAGTACACTCGTATAATTAATGCGCGTTAATTCGATTAAAAACAAATTTCTCAAGGAAGATAGGTCATGGTGGCTTAATATTTGACTGGCTGGTCGACTGCCACCTCGAATACGCCGGCATTTGATCGCTTTGCTTTGTTTGCTGCCAATTCGTTTTTAATTTATATTTATCCAAAACGATGAGGTTATACAACTAAGAGTCATTTTCTCAAGTATATTCTAAATTTTAACTGTCCTTTAAACATAAATTTTGTTCTGAAAAATTGTGCATGAAGAGCAGATAAATTTTACAATCTACTTGAGAAAATGACTTTAACCCATTTCGTACCACTGTTGTGTTTTCGAAACAGCAGAACTCAAAGTTTTTAAAAATAGATTAGCTGTAGCAATTTCATAATGGATTATGCCAAATGGTAGTTTGGCCTTTATATTTTACTAATTTTGTGCAAAAAAAAGCTTTTACTTGAAATTAGCCTTTTCTCCCTGCATGTAAAAAATAGCGCCAAATTAAGACCAGTTTTGAAATGACACGCATATTTTTTTTTTGTCTTCATATGGCCTAAAATATCAAGCCAAAAGGCCAATTTAACTTCCTGTGCCTATGTCCACCAATTGAGTTTTAGCTGCTGCTCTTGGGGCATGTGTAAATATGGGTTTCGCGAAACCGCCACTTTGGGACGATCCACTACTACTACCGTTACTGCAATATAAATAGTACTTCCGTAAATGCGTGGGAGCTGCATTGCCATATTCCTCCTCTTCTGTATTTGCGCTGCAACCGCATAAGCGTTTTTTGCCGAGCTCAACAAAGCCCATTTCTTTTCTGTGCCAACTGAACCAAATTCTTCTCCACTTGGTTTTCCATCGCAGTGGGGCTCTGCCTCTTCCTCTGCTACCACCAGCGGGTTCCGAGTGGAATACTTTCAGAGCTGGAGCTTCGCACAGTCGTTCAGCCCCATAAATTTTTTGGAGAAAATTCGGAGGCGTAGGCGTAGTGCCTTAATTTTTCGTATGTAACCTCTCAGGGTGTAAATCAAGCTAAAAAAAAAACACGAAAAATGGGTGCGATCGATTTCTTTTAAAGCATACCTTCCATACAAACATAACCTCATAAACCCCTTAAATATGCCATTCAAGGGGCATCGATTAATGTAAGACTCCGTCTATATATTTACAATTATAGGGTAAGTAAACATAGAAAAAATTTTCAAACTCGATTTACTTTAACGCATAGCTTAAAAGTGTCATTAAAATTTTGTCCATATATTTACAACACTGTGCGACAAAATCTAATAAATTTCAAAACACATTAAAGAATCGATATACTCACGAAACTATGGGCCAAATATAGTAAAACTGTGTTTTTAGTTTTTCACCCTAACATCAGGATTTTTTTGAAAGGACTTTGAAATTTTAAAGATGTGATTAATAAAAAATAATAATTAAAAAAATTTGAGCTATGTAGAATAACGATATGGGTACCGAATGAGAGAGAAAATTCTGTGGAATTTAAAAGCAATAAAGTTGTTTCGCTTACAAGGACGACTAGGTATTGAAAATGTTCTTTTAATAATAGTTAACTTTTTAAGTTAATAAAGATTGCAGGACGAAATTCGATATTAGTCCTCAAACAATGTTTAAAAAAGAAAAATATTGCAAATTTTCAAGGATATTTAAGGACAAGATTTGTACAGCACATTTTCCATACCCATTAGTCCTTATGCACCAAAAAATTTATTCTATTATAATTCTACAGAAGCTTTTCTTTAATATGACACCCTTACTGTTATTTAGGATAACTGTTATATATATAGGATATAGGATTGCGCTGCATTTTTTAAATAATAATTTTTGAAGTAATCATATTTTTCAAATTTCAAAGCAAACTAAGTACGCAGTTTTTCTATAATTTACCAATAGTTTCGCGAACATATTATATTATATCGTACTATACAAACTGCATACTTGTGCAAGCTGAGTTATTCCATATATGCATACATTTTTATAAAAATGGTGCCTCACGGTGGGTAAAACTGTTTAGCCTTCAAGGATAAAATAAAACAAAGATTGTTTTTGACTTTCGATGCAGCATGCCACGTTTCCGTAAAAGTAGGCAAAAAAAATTTACTTAGTCCATTATAAATTTTCTCATGAACTCTTTCTGTAAGGTTTGGATATTTATTTTTAAGGTTTTCGATACACATATGCACTTCATGAATGCTTGCAGTTGTAATTTCAGCTAATTCTGGATTATGAATGTCAAAATTTGACACAATCGCTGAATTCGGTGTTACTTTCTGAAACAGGTAATAAAAGGTGAAGCATTACCATATAACGCTTAAAAGTTAATTACCTTCATTATTTATGATTTCTAATACTTTCACTATTTTCGAAGAAAAGTTGGTTTCCTTGTTAATTGTTAGTTAGTTTGTTAGTATTAGTAATAAATATAAAAACCGAAAAATTCTGACAATTCGAGGATGTAATCGTCTAATTTTTTGTTTTAAATAAATATTGAAAATTTTCTAGGACGTCCAAGAATAAAATTTCGAAAGTACTTTTTCAATATTTATTTGTACTTGTGCACTAAAAAATATATATATTTTTTTCAATTCTACAGAACAGTTTGTTATCGAGTTGGACACTCACTTCCCTCCACTTCTTTAGCAACCTTAGATATCTTACGTTTACTTACCTTTTAAATATACGTATGTTCTAAACAATGGCTCGTCGACGTAAAATATATCAAAATCAAGCACAAAACTAAATTTTTTATTTTTTTATTCTTTATTTTTTTTTTTTTTGTAATGTTAAATTTTCTTTTATTGATTTCATGCCCATTATGTAATTAATGTATGTATGTATGTCTCATTTATGTATGTATGTATATCACGCTAAGAACTAGTTTTCTTTAAAATTGATAACAATGAATGCATTCATGGGCAATACGCATAATGCGATCTATATAATCTGTAATTTGCTGCTGACAAAGTTCACCTTACTGCCATTCCTAATCCTACGTACGTACATATGTATGTATGTAGCGCCACTGTTGATGACCCAGCATGATGATGATTTCGTCTACTCCTCATACAAGTTTAATTTATTTATTTATTGACTGATTATGTTGATTTATTTATTTTCTTTTGAGGGGATGATTTCATCGCAATCACAGTTACTCTCAATGGCATTTCGGCTATCTGGTTTTTTTATATTTATTTCCTTTTACTAAGTAGTTACAATACTTCTTCAATTGTTTGTTTTGTTTTTTTTTTCGTGTTTCTCCTTTGTAAATATTGAAGTTTTGGTTTTGGTACTGGGATTAAAGAATTTAAATAATTTCTTTTATTTTTCTCCTTGCTTCTTTCTCTTTTGTATTTTGAAGGTTTCAGTTGGTTTTTTGTTTTAAATATATACTCGTATATATGTATGTATGTAGTTTTAACAGCTGAGCTTAAAATGTTTTTGTTTTCTTTTTTTTTTTGTTTGAAGGAGTGTTGTAGTATTGCAATTTGACTTTACTACAAATATCTAGGTATATATGTATGTATTTTGTATATAGATATATATTTATATATGCATGTATTTGTGTATTAAATAGTGGTCTTATGCATTTTGTCGGTTTTTCTTCGGAATTATTCAAAGTTGGTAATTGTAGTTGTTGTTAATTAATTATCTAATTTTTTACATTTTCTTTTTGGATTGGGAATATGTAGCAAATCAATAATTTGTAATTACGTTTTGCAAATTGTAATAACAGTGAGTTTTGCAACAAATGAAATTTGGTATAGTGTTTTTTTATCATTCAATATTACAAGTTGTTTGTTCTCTTTGCTTCCCATTTCATTTGCAGCGTACTTGTGTTTCAACTATGTTTTTTGTTGCTGTTTACATTTACTATTACATTTTCATATACACATATATATGTATATATACAATAGCCTACTGAAGCAGATCCCGACAATTCAAAATACTTACTTATTCTATATTTATTTTGCTTACATACCGAACGTTTTCAGCTGTGGTCAATGCCACAACCATCTGCCTTTTTTTTTCTTTTGACGGGTCATATCTCGTAGTTAACTCACTTTCTAACTCCTTATGTATACAAGTATTGACATTTGCTGCTACTATTTTTACACTTTAAAGTTTCGTTCGGCTTTCTCGTTTGCTTTGTTACTTGCATTCGAACGGAAGGCGTAAATATTTCCTTACAGTTTTATGCAACTTCAGCTTTTGCTTTTCCTTCTGGAGGTTTCCGTTTGGTTCAAATATAGTATGTAATTACATACATATCTATGTATGTTTTCATGCCAATACTATACAGGTATGTAGTTTGTTTTGCACTTAATGTACATGCATACATAAAGTTATTCCAGTGTTCTTAAATTTTATTTTATCTTTATAATATTAACCACTTCCTTGTTCGGCGCCTATACTTATGCTGCCTTAGATCATACTCAATCAATTGAATGAATCAATGTACAATATAACTTTTAATTTTCAAAATTGTGCTAGGAAGTGTAAATAAATCTGTGGAGGAAAAAAAATCTTTCATATACATACGTAGTGTGGCGGAAATATAAATAGGGGCGCGAAATTTTAACAAGTTTTGGCTATTTTTGTTAGGTTTATTCAATGTTTATATTTTTTATGTAAAAGCTAAAAAAAAATTCATAGTAGTATTCCAAAAATTTTCATTAAAATTCGAGCTTTTTAATCAGATTGCTTAGAGCTTATCGTCGATTTTTAGATTTGTTTTGTTTTTTTGAAGGTGTTGCTACTTACTCTATTCACCATATAAAAAATGGTGGAACATACTTTTCATGAAAAAAACGCGTTACATCGTCAACCAATATAAAAAACAAAATGCCAAAAATCAAAATTTTTTGGAGCCACTTCAAAATAGCGCTTAATAGTACTAAAAAAAGGCTACAAACTTTTAAAAAATTCTGATTAAATTTTGTATGCAATTTTGTTGAAATTTGTCGTATTTTCCAAACTTTTGTACAACGTTTAAAATTCCGACTTACATGGTTTTTGTTAGTCATGCTTTAAGAAAAAAGAGTAAATATAAATAACATAAAAAAGAAAAATAGCCAAAGCTTGCTTTTAAAATATCGTGTCCCTATTTATATTT